ATGGTGTCCACTATACAACTCCCGGATTCGAGACTCGCCACACAGGCTGTCCGAAAACCCGGTTTTCGACAATTTTGCATCGCCACACAGACTTTCGAAGAATTGCGGCTAAGAAAACTTTTGACAGGTGTCGAATGGTACTTTGGAGAGCCGCCCTCCAGCAACCTTTTCCTCCCGGCTGCAGGTGACGGAAATTCGACAGCGCCCCGCCGACCTTTCAAAAATTGTGTTCCAATTTTTGTTGTCAGGGACTGTTCCGTGACACCCGTCCTCCTGGCCATGACCAAAAACCTTGCCCCTCGACAGCCTGTGTGGCGAAGGGGGGGCAAACTGTTGACCACGGACTTTCATTTTTTTTCTGACACCTGTCAAAACTCTTTGAGTTTCGACAGCCTGTGTGGCGAGGCTCTTCGTGAGTTCGCTATGAGACACCGTCGCCGCACTATAAGACACAGCCTTGATAGCATTTTGTCCGCCCAGACTCCAGGCTCACTGTCCAAAAAAGCGGAGGGACAGCCTTGATAGCATTTTGTCCGCCCAGACTCCAGGCTCACTGTCCAAAAAAGCGGAGGGACAGCCTTCATAGCATTTTGTCTGCCCAGACTCCAGACTCACTGTCCAAAAAAGCGGAGGGACAGCCTTGATAGCACTTTGCCCGCCCAGTCTCCAGGCTCAGAGGCTCACCACAGGCTGTCGAAAACCCAGTTATCGACAATTTTGCATCGCCACACATGGCACTTTCGACAGCCGCCCTCCAGCAACCGTTTCCACCAGCCTGCAGGTGACGGAAATTCGACAGTGGCCCGCCCATCTTTCAAAAAACGCCTCCGATTTTCCATTGTCAGGGACTGCTCCCTGACAGCCGTGGCCTGTTTGTCGGTATGTACTCAAAAGTGGCTGTCAAAAACGGCGTGGACATCTGGTCCGCTTGCGCGCACAAAGGGTCTCGCCACACCACTCTCCAAATGTAGAAAAGACAAAAATGTGGGCAATGCATCTGGCCGTGATCTAGCAGGAAGTTCATTCTCAGTTTGCACACTTCCAGAGTGGTGTGGCAATGCCTAAATTCATCCATGTAACAACTCCCGACAGGCGTCCGCCTTCGCCACACAGCACCTGTCGAAAGGCGGAATCGACTTGGCAACTTTCGATAACCTCGCCTTCGCCACACAGCACCTGTCGAAAGGCGGAATCGACTTGGCAACTTTCCATAACCTCGCCCCTGGACAGGCTATGTAGCAAAGGGGGGCGAAATTGTCGACAGCCTGGCGAAAATTTTCTGACACCTGTCAAAAATTTGTCAAAAATTTCGACAATAGACAGCCTGTGTGGCGAGCCTCTCAAGGCCTCCCCACACCACTCTCGAAAAGTGGAAAAGACAAAAATTTGGCAGGGGCATCTGGCCATGTTCTAGCGGGAAGTTCAGTCTCAATTTACACATTTGGAGAGTGGTGTGGCGACGTCCTCACTCTGTCCAAAAAGGCGGAGGGGCAATGGTTCCTAGGAGGACCGTCCACGAAAGGCTGGCAGCTATACAAAAATGGACAGTAGATTTTCCACGCTATTTCAGACAACCGTCCAAGCCATTTCGGACGCAGAGAATTTGGGCCTCGCGACAATACTCTTGAAATGTGAAAAAGACAAAAATGTGGCGGTCGCATCTGGTCATGTTCTAGCAAAAAGTTCGTTCTCATTTCGCACATTTCGAGAGTGGTGTGGCGACACCCTTTTACAACACCTCAGTTCGAATCTTCCGAGAGTTCACAGTTCGCTACGTTTCGTTTCGTTTCGTTTCGTTTCCTTGCCCGTGTGGCGAGGCCCCAAATGTACTATCTGTGTTTGAAAAAAAAAAAAAGCCCTAGTGTAGTATCTGTTGTGAAAAGCTGATCCGTGACCCATAATAAATAGGGGCAATGGAAAAAAAAGCCCCCCGCCGTGTTCAGGCCGTACTCATACAGCCGTTTGTGCTGCCGCGTGTCTCAGACATAACCTGCTCGTGCAAAACGTGCGAAGAAGCTGCTTCGGGCCTGAACGGACACATCCGGCTCGGAATTGCCCCTTGGCTGAGGTTCGGCGGCAAATGGACAATACCTTACTACCTCTAATCCTCGCTCTGCCCCCCCGCCCCCCTCCCTCCCTCCGTCCAAAATGATCGAACCTGGTCCAGCACAGCGGCAATGGACATGTCGTACGCGGAATTACATCAGGGGAGAGAGGGTTGACAAGACCCGGATGTTGATTTTCTGACTGCCGATGAAATCAGGTACACCAAAAAAGTAACAGGTCCGTCGGGACATCCGTTCAAATTGGATAGATACAGAGAAGATTAGCATGACCCCTGCCCAAGGATGACACGCATAAATCGAGAAACGGTCCACATAAGGGGGAAAAAAAAAAAAAAAAGGTATCGGAGGAGGACTAGATAGAGGAAATATTCATCAAGGTGGTCATGGTGGAAAAAAAAGAAGGAAAAAGAGAGAGAGAGAGAGAGAGAGAGAGAGAGAGAGAGAGAGAGAGAGATCGGAGGAGGACTAGATAGAGGAAATATTCATCAAGGTGATCATGGTGGAAAAAAAAGAACGAAAAAAGAGAGAGAGAGAGAGAGAGAGAGAGA